TATAATATCATATTATATGATAAAATAATAATATTAGAGTTATTAATATAATTATGATATTATTTGTTATAATATTATTATTATATTACGAGTCTGAATTTTAGATTAAGAAGATTGTAAATTTATAATTTTATTATGGGTATTATGAAAGTTTCATTAATTGTACTATATTGATTCCCACACAATCTAAAAGCTAAAGTTATCTTTAGGCTGCTTCTGATTTTGACTATAAATTCTTAAAAAATTCTTCATAAAACACTTTTGGGGAGATTTACCAAATACTAAAATTAACTTCTGCTACAAGTAAAAACTGATTTTAGAAAGAAAAAACAATACCAAACTAAGCTATCGTCTTTTCTAGAGACACAGGGTGGAAACCTGTATTTCACTAAAACAAAGAGATACTTGTGTAATTATCCCCAATTATGTTGATAATTTTGGCAGCGAAAACAATATCAAAATAATCACAAAAATGGACCATTAATAAATAGGATCATAAATTTAATAATTTGTTGCAATTGTGATTCAAAAGCTAACAAATGTGAATTAATAGATGGAATGCTACAAAAGTTTTTACACAGTATAGACATTATTTATAATTCTAATTGCCTTCCATTAATTGTTGGCGTTATCAATTGGACTGAAATGTTAAAAATTATCAATTTTGGGTCTTAAATACCAAACCTAAAAAATATAGAGTTCAACTTACAAATAATGAAAATTTCAGAGGCCACTGGCGCAAAATACCATATTAATTTCCAACAAATATCAGAGCTCATTTGGGACTGAAGCCCCCGCTCTGATTCTTCAACGTACTCTTCCCAAAAACCCTAAATCCGATCTTCAACGACACTGAAATAGTTATCAGCGGAAGATGGGGACCTTGGGCAAGGCAATTTACACCGTTGGATTCTGGATCCGCGAGACCGGCCAAGCCATTGATCGCCTTGGTTGCCGCCTCCAAGGCAACTACCACTTCCAAGAACAGCGTACGAACGACCACAACCACTTATTTTGTTTGTTTGTTTTTAGCTGTTAATTGACGTCAAATTTTGATTATGGCGGGAAATTATGATTTAGTGATGTGGATCATTGACTGATTAATTGCTTTTTCTTGCTCTTGTTTTTTTTGGGGGTGAAGTATCGAGGCATCGGACGCTGATGAATGTGTTTGATAAAGCTCCGGCGGTGGATAAGGATGCGTTTGTGGCGCCAAGTGCGTCCGTCATCGGCGATGTTCAGGTCGGACGAGGCTCGTCCATTTGGTATGGCTGCGTTTTGAGAGGTAAAAAAAAATAAGCCTGTTTTAACCAAAAAAAAAAGTTATTTAAATTTAAATTTTTTGTTTTTAACATTTCAAATCGCAAATTGGGCAAATTGTTGATGTTTGAAGCCTCAAGTTGTGATGTCTTGGAATATGGGATTATGTTTAGAATGATACGTTATGGCATTGTGGATGATGGGCTACCTTTGTATTTGTTAATTGCGGTTAGAGGAAAAATCTGCACTTTCTATTTCTGGCTTTTTGGACCTCTTGATTGTCTTGTTGGGCACTTTGTGAGAGGTATTTACTGTTTACGATATTGTTAGTGCTTCAATTCGTTTGAAGAAGTTAAAGTTGTATCGGGTTCTATACTTTAAAGCGTGAATTTAGCCAAGAAGGAGTGTGGGAAGTATGAGGGAATGATGGTGTAACACCAAAATAACGGAAAAATCTTTAGATACATCTGATAGTAATTATCGCCCCGTTTGGTTTTTTGGTTTGAAGAGAAAGTTTGAACAAACATTCAAATTTTTGTTTTGAGGGAAAGCACTATTGCAAAAGGATTTGCACCATCTTTCAAACCTATGAAACAAATGAGGTATATGTTTGTTCAGACAGCAGAATTATGTAAAAAGTTAAGTTCCAACTTTATATGATAACTGAAGGTTTCATGTCATGCAATGCAGAAGTTGGATTGCTTATTGGTAATTGAATATAGGAAGACAGAAACATATTTTATGAGAATGGCAGTGTCGCTGTTATGAGAAACACTCTTTTTGAAATGTTAACTAACTAAGCCTATGTAGTTATTGTATTCCTTTGGTTTAGGAATGAATATACATGTAAAACCAGATATTGGGTTACAACCACTTCAGTGTTTTTTCTCTGTGCACATGTGTGGTTGCATATGTTTACTATTTTTGTTTTGACTCTTGTTCCATGTGAGTAGGTGATGTTAACAGCATCAGCATTGGATCTGGGACAAATATACAAGACAATTCGCTTGTTCATGTAGCAAAATCTAACTTGAGTGGAAAGGTGTTACCAACTATCATTGGAGATAATGTTACAGTAGGTGAGCGACATATGCTATGTTCCACATGTTTCTGAACAGTCCTTTATGCCGGCTTTGTTAAGCATTTTGTATCATCTTTTCCACTTTAACTTTCACAGGCCATGCTGCTGTCTTACATGGATGTACTGTGGAGGACGAGGCATTTGTTGGCATGGGTGCCACCTTGCTTGATGGAGTTTTTGTTGAAAGACATGCCATGGTTGCTGCTGGGGCCCTCGTAAGACAGAACACAAGGATCCCTTATGGAGAGGTTAACTCTGCCATTGGTACCCTGAAATTTTGACAGCTCGATATCTAGTCTGTTTTTCTTTAGTATGGACTGCTAAATGAAAATTGGTTATACGAGGTGCAGCCTTACTAAGGGCCAGGAAGCTAACATTTGCGTTTCCTAGCAAATGCAGCTTTTTGCCTAAGATATCACGTGAGTTCAACTTGCAATTTTCAAGACAATTGATTATCAGTCACTTATTATACAGGTATGGGGAGGTAATCCAGCAAAGTTCCTGAGGAAGCTCACTGAAGAAGAGATAGCCTTCATCTCTGAGTCAGCTGTAAATTATACTAACTTGGCGCTGGTTCATGCTGCTGAAAATTCCAAGAGCTTTGATGAGATTGAGTTTGAGAAGGTGCTCCGCAAGAAGTTTGCACACCGTGATGAAGAGTATGATTTGATGCTCGGTGTTGTTCGTGAAACCCCTCCTGAACTTATCCTTCCTGATAACGTTCTGCCAGATAAAGTTGCAAAAGCTTCTTAAAGAGTTGTTAAACCCAGTTAGATACCTCTTGAGTTGGTGTCAGTGAGTGGTTTATTATTTGCGGAGGTATGAAGGACGGCCAATTTTTCATTTTCCAATAATTTTCGGGCTGGAATGAAGTGTCAAGGTCTATTCGGGTCGGCATTTCTGACGTATGGCTCCGATCATCCTTCCTGCTTGATCAGAAACTTTTTTTTTCCTGTCTTTTTTGCTTTGTTGTGAAAAAAGAACTGGGATGACCGAATGTTTGTTCGGATGCTGTCTCATTGGTTGGTAGTCTAGATCACATTTGCTTTTGAATAAGAAATATTGAATCAGGTGAACTGGCCTACTGTTACATTTGAATAGATTAGTTGGATTACTTCAACATTTGGATTAAGTCTCTTATTGAGAGTCTCTGGTCGCGTATGTTTCCTTTCAGTTTGTTTTCAGATTATGGGTGCAAATAAAGGGAGTATTTGGATTGAAACACCAAATAGTACAAGCAAAAAATCTACTGGGATCATATTCCTGGTAGAATTACAAACTACTAAGTAGAGATTAAGGGCTCGTTTAGAGTATATATTCAAGTCAGTGATTCTGATTCATGGGTAAGAATTTTGTGACATGTTATTTCTGAATTCAATTTCTTTATGAGATAACAAACCCTGTAATAGAACTCAAATTATGGGTTCAACTATATTTCCTAAACAAGCCCTAAGTTATGACTCCTTCAGAAAATAAAATACAATCAAGGATAATTCTGATTTTTAGTAACATCAGAGAAGGTAAAGAAGTGTCTGTGTCTATAGGTTACCCTTGGTGCTGATGTAAAATTTGCCAGGATTTTAAGAAACCCCTTAAAAAAATATGAAAGTATCTTTCTTTTTTTTTTTTTTTTTTTTTTTTAAAAAAAAGAAAAAAATTTTTTTTTTTTTTTTTTTTTTTTTTTTTTTTTACAAAACGACAAAAGACAAATTTACTCCTTTTGTACACAGTTAGAGCATCTATAATCTAATATTATAATTAAGGAGACGTTTGGTTCATGGATTAGAATCATGAGATTAGAATTATTTTCGATTTACGTGTATTTTTTGTGAGAGAAAACACTATAACGAACCATGAACCATGATTCGAATCGGGGTACGAATCCCCCAACCAAACAACCCCTAAGTCTCAATTGTAAATTTAATATCACTCTACAATGTAATGCTATTTTATTGTGTTAAATTTCTCATATGCTAGACTTTAAGGTAAATTTCCCACCAAGTATAATATATAAAAAATTTGACATTTAATTACTATTGGTTGAAATGTTTACTTTTTTTCATGTAATCATTTGCATTTTTTAATTATTTTAAAGATAAAAGTATACTTTTACAAGTTTCAAAACTTAATAATTATAGAAAAAAAGTAGATTTAGCATTTCAAATAGTATTATGCATTAGAGTAAAAATGATAATAACATATCATATCATAATTTTTTATGCTAAATATACAATTATCATTAGCATTTACATTGGAGATGGTCTTACACGCTTGAAAAAGGAGATAACTAAATAACTGTCATCTCCATCGGTTTATGTTTCTCCGATCTTGTGCATTTGATCTAGGAAATAAAAATTGATGAACCAAATATTGAGAAAAGTACATGTGTGTGTTGTCTCACATGAAAAGTGGATGAAGATGTGAAATGATTTATATACATAGAAGGATCTAAAACCTAATAAATTAACTTTTTAGATCAAATTGGGCTCCTGAATTGTGTTGGGCCTCCCAACACCAAATATATTTTTGTTTCACAATTGCTTATTGTTAAAAAAAAATAAGGAAAAAAAAAACTTACTGAATAATCATTTTCTGACCAGTTAATTTGTCTGTATATTAATATAATGAAATTTTGCTCACCATTACATTTCTAATTGATTTTTTCCCTTCTCTCTTTGCCCATGCATTATGATATTTCTTGTTTGTACTTTAAAACACCAAAAGGATATTTAATATAAAGATGGCTGGAGAAGAAGCAAAGAAAAACAGATTAAAAAAAAAAGAAGGAAAGAAAGATAAAAGGGAGTAGACTACCAGATGGGCTAACAGAAGGACAATGAAAGAGAATGAGTTAGGGAGAGGGAGAGCGATGAGTGGAGATTAATAAACAAATTTTATATTGAAATTTTGAATTTGATGAATAAATGCAATAGGGAAGGCCGGAGGGGCGTATAATAGGATTTTTTTGCCTATTAGTCATTTTCTGTTGGCTTTAACACTCCTTAATAAATAAGGAGTGTGAAACATAAAAAGAGCAAACATTAAAGATCGTGGTCAGCAGCAACAATCCTATTTGTTTTACTCTTTAGCTGGACATAATGGAAATCTACAAGATTACCATCGGTAATTTAGAAGATGTTGCCTAAAAGTGATCCATGGAAATCTACAAGATTACCATCGGTAATTTAGAGGATGTTGACTAAAAGTGATCTTTGGTCATTTCAGTCGATCCCCAGCACCGGCCAGGTCAGAAAGTAGACTGGTAGATTATTTTTGATAATATACTAGATGTTTTTCATTTTTAAATACAAAATGACTTCGCCAATCGCTGATGCTGATCGCCAAAGGTTATATGAATTATAAAGATCATTTTCGATAATTTATTATATTCTTTTTGATGACTTGCCAGTTTATTTTTCATTGTTATATACAAGATGAACGGATGCTTTTTTGACTACTGCTAATATTCATAATATATATATATATATATATAATATTTTGTACTTAATGTAACTATATACGTAAAATTTTCAGCTATTATGGGGATAAGTATGTGATTATTTATGTTAAATTTTAGAAATCTTTGTTAATTTTAGAGGTACTAAAATTGTTAAAAACAAAAGTTCAACGATTAATTAACTAAAATTATAAATTTAGGGAATAAAGTGTCACAATGTTAATAAGTCAAGGACTTCTAGTGTTAATAACCAAAACATTTATGATTAAATGCATTGATATTTAATATAAACAAAATTTTATGAACTATTTTAGTCGATCTTAAAATTACGAGATTTCACACCATCTCTATCTATTTCTTCCTGAAATTTTGCGTTTCTGTCACAGGAATTGTGACCAAATAGAGATCAAGCAAACATAACGGCACCGATCGATGTATTAGAGGTCATCGGCGTGCATATGTCGAGATCTCCTCACAAGCCCGCAATGGCTACGCGAAGGAGAATATTGGTTACAATTCTCCTCAGTGGTGGGAGACCTACTAATTAATGGTATTAGGACTCATTGAGAATCATGCTGCCTCACAAACCCGCAATTCTATATACATACATACGTACTTACTCTATAATATTGATATAAAATAACCCTCACTAAATTAATCTAATAACCCCAATTAATAGATCGATTTCGATTAGGTTTTTATTTTAGTTATTAGTTCCTACTGATAAAAATTTCTGACTCCATGAAAGTGTACTGTGATAGTGGATCTATATCACCACCTTCATCTTGCGAGAGTAAACTTGTTCTTTTGCCAGAAGGAGCTCTAATTTTGTGGAGGCGCAAAAGATCTCAATTGCAAGGCCAGTATGGCGCAAGACCATATATATTGCTCTCATCGGCTTGTCCACGGCCTTTGGTGTTTTTCTGATTGTTGTTTTTTTTTTTTTTTTTAAAAAAAATGTTTTATTTTCATTTTCGATGAGAGATAAATGTTTTGGAGATTTCTTTTTGGAAAGGGTAATCTTGATAAATATATTTTAGAAGAGTATGAGTCGTTATTTTTATTTTTTACTCTTAATTCATAACTTTTTTAGTCAAATAATTATACTGACAAAAAAGTATTTATTAAGAATAAAAAGTAAATATCCAGACTCATACACTCTCAAAAATAAATTCTCTATTCTTTTGTGATATTTAATATAAACAAAATTTTATGAACTATTTTAGTCGATCTTAAAATTACGAGATTTCACACCATCTCTATCTATTTCTTCCTTAAATTTTGCGTTTCTGTCACAGGAATTGTGACCAAATAGAGATCAAGCAAACACAACGGCACCGATCGATGTATTAGAGGTCATCGGCGTGCATATGTCGAGATCTCCTCACAAGCCCGCAATGGCTACGCGAAGGAGAATATTGGTTACAATTCTCCTCAGTGGTGGGAGACCTACTAATTAATGGTATTAGGACTCATTGAGAATCATGCTGCCTCACAAACCCGCAATTCTATATACATACATACGTACTTACTCTATAATATTGATATAAAATAACCCTCACTAAATTAATCTAATAACCCCAATTAATAGATCGATTTCGATTAGGTTTTTATTTTAGTTATTAGTTCCTACTGATAAAAATTTCTGACTCCATGAAAGTGTACTGTGATAGTGGATCTATATCACCACCTTCATCTTGCGAGAGTAAACTTGTTCTTTTGCCAGAAGGAGCTCTAATTTTGTGGAGGCGCAAAAGATCTCAATTGCAAGGCCAGTATGGCGCAAGACCATATATATTGCTCTCATCGGCTTCTTTTGGTTTTTTTTTTTTTTTTTTTTTTTTTTTTTTTTTTTTTTAAAAATGTTTTATTTTCATTTTCGATGAGAGATAAATGTTTTGGAGATTTCTTTTTGGAAAGGGTAATCTTGATAAATATATTTTAGAAGAGTATGAGTCGTTATTTTTATCTTTTACTCTTAATTCATAACTTTTTTAGTCAAATAATTACACTAACAAAAAAGTATTTATCAAGAATAAAAAGTAAATATCCAGACTCATACACTCTCAAAAATAAATTCTCCATTCTTTTGGAAATGTTCTCTTAAAAAACTGGTTGTAGGAAGGTTGACAATGGCCGCTACTGTTTGTTCAGAATATTTGGTATAAACGTTACTACCTCTGTATGATAAGGCGGTATTATGGTAGGATACCTACGTCATCAGCCATATGCCACCAATTGTTAAAATTTTTTAGTATCACAGTGGATACCTCATAGTATCATGGCAGTAAACTAACATCCACCGGCGGCTATTACAGGTATCTTTGTATAACACTATGAGATGTAATTTTGGTGTTCTAAATATGTTCGGGAGCACAATAGCTTTCGTTAGCAAACATCTATTTCTCTTTGGAAGAGAAATTTCATTTCACAAAAACAAAGTTACATACTTAAATTAGTCGTAAGTGAGCCTCATTTACAAGAGAAATCAACCCTGAAAAAATAACTGCATCCACCAGTGACGACAAATCAAGCATAGGGACAAAACACGTGTTGTGACCTAATGGGAAAAACCAGCTCGGCACATACAGATTAAGCACGACCAAGGCTCGTTATACAGAACACTATAGTTGATGGATAAATCAATCAATTGAGACCAAATCTCAAATCATTAT